CTAGAGTCACGAAATAAAGCTACGCTTTCAGAGTACCGCAACTCCCAAGCAACGCGTCTGCAGCACGTCAGGGGCCGCCATGTTGGGTCCGCGCGCAGATGAGGAGTGACTGTAGCTGAGCCAAGCCGAGCTGTAGCCGTCGACTGCTACAGCTGCCGCGGTCGCAACTGTGGCAGCGAATCAAAGTCGTGTTGTTCGTATCTCGACGTAACACGGAAAACGCGCGTGCTGAGCGACGGACTTCAGCGTGCGCGCGCAGTAAACAGCAAACAGCAGCAGGCAGAGGATCGCTGGACCCAAGATGGTGGCGTTGAGAAAACGCGATGATGATGATAGCGACTCACGTGACTGCCGCTGTCCAATGATGCCGCAGCGAACCAGAATATTGTTGAATAGAGCGACTGTATTGTCGGCAAAATGCCAAAGGAAAGGAGTGCGGTACTCTGAAAGCGTAGCTTATTTATACCCTTGTTACACGGGCACACTTAACTGCAGTTACGCTAAGCCACAGTTAGCTCACAATACTTGCCGACAACACTCTGCGGCTCTGCAGTCAAAGCTATGGGCGAACGTGCGCTTGAGCATCTTGAGCACCCATCAAAGCAGTGCACGCGCTCTCTTCACTTCTTTTGAAATAGCTGTCCGAAAGCATAATGCGGTATCTGTGCCGCCACGTAACAGCAGTTAAAGCTGAGGTAACCGCGGTTAAGTGTGCCCGTGTAACAGCGGTATTAGTGACCCTAGTGAGCTCGCGCTTCTTTATCCTTCGTTGCGGTACAGCATAGACTGAAGGGGGGATCGGTGGCCGAGTGGGCTGAAGCGCACACCCATGCAGTTCGACGCGCGTGGAGGAAAAGCTCGCGCTGCAGAACCCAGGTGTCCTGGGTTCGGGCCCCACCCACCCTTGCCCGTTTCGATCTGGATGAGCATCTTTCCGGCGTGCGGTCGTGTGTCACTACTGCGTGGTGCACGTTAAAGACCATAGGCTAGCGGTTGTACTGCACTGGCTAAATTGCTCATCTACGGCGTGTGACTCGTCGCAACTTTAATGGCTTACCAACTACACGCTGTATAAATATCCCCATAACCCAATTTGCTTTTTGCATAGGGGGAAACGGAGTATAGGCCTAGCAAGGCACTCCGACGCAGCGTTGCTCCGACGTTATTCGCAACTCCAACGCCCTATAGGTGGCGGGGCGGTAGTTCCAAGATGGCGGAAGAGACGGGGATAGATTCTCCAGGATATCCCGTGCGCCTGCTCGCTGACGCTGTTCAGCGCGCTAAAAATGATTTATTTGTCTACAAATGCGAAGCGGTTAGGGAGGAATCATATTACAGGTGACGGAGATGCTGATGCATGTTAGAAAAACGAGCATGCTGCTATTTAGAAGTTGCAGAAACCTCAAATTGCCAAGCTTTGTGGTGAGCCAGCGCGTTTTAGGCACCGGCCACGTTACTGTTTGTGGCAGAATATTTTCGAGGGTGATGAAGATATGTTTGCGCTTTGCCTGGCCATTAGTGCTCTAAAAAAAGAGCCGCGAACGGTGACCGTCAAGCTTCGGAAGAGCAGCGTTGACAGCGTTGGTGTCTTCGCGTCACTGCCTCAGAACTCGCTGCTGACCGTCTCGGTTTTTGGTGTATTGCAATACGTATTCAAACTGCTCTATGGTTAATGATAGAAAGTTTGTTACCGCAGGCTACCGTGCGGTGTAGCATAACAGCCGCAAGCTCGCGCTGCGCCAACGGAGCAGAATTTTCAGTGCGCGCCAGGAGCGTTGCCGTGCTCATTACTCAAAAAAAAAAAAAAAAGTTGTAGTTCTTACACTCCTTGTCACATATACTACACTCCAAAACTTCAGTTCGCCGTGAAGCCCACTGACGTCAAACTGACGGACCCAACTTTTACGAGAGGCTTGATGACGACTTAATATAAGATACTAAACAGCTAAAGTACGCATCAAAGAAAAAAAAAAAACACTTAAGTTTTGCAGTAGAACCAAAAAAAAAAACGGTTCCTTTTTTTTTTACAGTCATTTATACTTAAGCTATTTTAATAAGTTGCACAACTGGGATATCAAGCCGCTTGTGAAAGTTGGTAGCGCCTGTTTAACGTCAGTGCGCTGTACGTCCAACTGAAGTTTAAAGGTGTCGTACGCTATGCAAATACTGCCTATTAACATAATCGGCGTGCTTAAGGGTTTTATTTGTTGCTCTATCAAAAAGAAATATTTTAATATACCGTACATTTTTTTTACCATGTTATTTGCAACATTGCCGTCCTTCTGGCCAAAACTGCGCATTCTAAGCTCTCGTCACGAAAGGCTGGCTAATCCAGACGCGCTTAAAATGCTTCGAGCATTTCTTTATTTGCTTTTTAATTACCTGAAAGCAAGTATGGATATTCTATTTTTTTTAAAGTGCTTGGAATAAATGGTCACGTTCCTTGTAACGGTCTTAAAACGCGAACCCATTCCCGATTTGTATTGCTCGACATACCGTTGCGCGACGAGTTTTCGCCTACTCACGGCAAAGAATAGACTTTCCGTAGTCCGTACTATAGAGTTCTTCATTATTAGCGGGAGCGCTTTCTGTCACGTTGAGCACAGATTGAGCTGGCGGCCATGCACAAGATGCGCAGCGTATGCGATGCACGAGAAGCCCTAATGAAATTAGACATCCCGGTCCTTCGTGCAAAGCTGTTGCAAGACGGAGCATAAGAATTACTTTTTTAACGCGCTCACTTTTTTCGTCAAAACGGCTTCACGCATCAAGGCCGACAGCCCTGCCACCGTTTCCGCGCCGCCGCCGCCGCTACCGTCCCCGCTCCTCTGGTTCTCCGTTCGTCCGCTTGAGGGCGAGCGGCGCGCTGGAGTTGCGAATAGCTGGCCAAGACCGTCTACCGACGACCGGCTGGCCTGCCGAATGCCCGCGCGACCCATGTGTACCCCCCTTTACTTGTAAAATTTGTTTGATCGCTGACCTTAATTTTCGGTCATCGCCTTGTCTTTAGAGGCAGCGGTGGCGAACGCTCTCGTCAATAAGGGACAGCTGACATCTCTCATCCATTCTGTCTCTTTGTTTTGCGTGATATAGAGCTCAAATAAACGCCGTATGGATTATCTTCGCAACATCTGGTACGTATGTTTTGTTATTCCGACACGACGGTACGTCAACACTGTGGAGCTATAGCAGCTCGTTGGAGCTACGCGATGCCGGTCCAAGCTTCCTCTGCCGAGTGTCACTTCCGCGTCGAGTTGCAATCGAAAAAGATCGGTCCCGAAGCGCTTACCACGACGCGGTCCAACAGCGCGGTAACCGCGCCGCGCTTCGATCAAACACTCGCGTGCCCACCCCCAATGTGAGCATGTATTCACGTGGCTCTTGCTGACATACTCGTCGTTCCAACCTATTTTCTTGGACGTCGGCTCGCTCCTGCATCCCCGAGGCCGCGAAAAACACCGCGCCGATTTGTTTCCTTGTGCGCCGCTTTGCATGCGAGCGGCGCGCTGGCCATGTCTTTTTTAGCAACGATGATAGTTGTGGACTTCGTAGCAATCAAGTTCGTAGCAGTCGGCGAAGGCGGTTAGCTCGGCCTCGGCATTCTGGCCCGTTTAAATCGTGGCAGCGTCCATATTTCCCTGCACGGACGCGATCCCCAGAGAAGCGGTGGCGGAAAGGCCTCCTGAGTTTATTATTGTTCTTCTTCTAAGCGTTGTGAATGAAGATTGGGGGAGGGGGGGGGGGGGGGGAAGAGGAGGAGAGGGCCAATAGTGAATGCGCACCGGGAGCGTTGGTCGCTGGCTCTGTTATTATTCAGATTCCAGGTACTCCGAACTATGCCGAGCTCTCCGATTGGTTGTTCGTGTTGCCGAAACCTCTGTCGCCATAGCAACAGCCCGCTCTCAAGTACGAGAATGTCGCTCTACTCCTCTCACATTAAGAACGCGTTCGTGATTACCGATATCTCCACTTACGATGTGCATAACTTACGTTCTTAGCTAAGTTGCCGTAGCCAGCTCTTTGTGAATCTGGCCTCACATTGTTAGAAAAGGTACGCCGACTCCCCTGTAATGGTCTTCGGAGTTGCAAAGCGGCTTATGTTGACCAAATGTTATGTGACAAGCTTCCGAACTTGCTTAGTTATATGAACGTCCAAAGCATGCAACCTGTGGCATCATCAGTAAAATACCTTCGAACTTTTTTTTTTTCTCTTGAAAGGTCTTCAACATCAACGCAGTATATTTGAATAAAAGCTAATTTTATTGGCGTTCACGTGTTTCTTGACCTTATGTCGTATGTGACGAGGGGAAAATGTATGCTTGTGATCGGCACCATTGTTATAATTTGATAGTACGTGTTTATTTTGTCCACGTGTGCTTTGAATGTGAACGGTCCTGATACTAAATTTTTAAGTCATATCTCGTTAATGTGGACCCAGTCAATACGGATACTAGCTATATAGACAACATTTTCGGGGACGAACGGAGTCAACAAATGCACTTCTCTCTCGCTGTTATGGGCGACTTATACATTGCCGACGATTTGCTAGGTGAACGGAGGTATCTATATTAGCGAGACATCACTTTGTTCCTAGTGGTGTTGAATACAGATATATCCATGAACTATTAAAAGGATTACTTTCGCTGTTTTTGTACTGCTTTCTAGTTACTACCTTTGTCATTTGTAGGGTGGACCTGGCAAGCAGTATACTGCAACTTTTTTTTCTTGGCTTCCCTCCGCCATTGATTCGATGGAATAATAATAATAATAATAATAATATTATTATTATTATTATTATTATTATTATTATTATTATCCCGTGTGTGTAAGTGTATTCTTTTTATATAAATGTGCCAGCACCAAGACCCGATAGGTTGTTCCTTATCACTACAATAACACTGATTAATTGACTGACTTATTGAATATTATAAAATGCTCAAAAGTCAAAAACAATTGGACCCTCGAAAATGAATTGGAATGTCTCTTGGGTACTGCCGCAGGCGCCAGTCCCCCGGTTCATCTGCGGACTCTGCAGAGGCGGCACTCCAGGACCGACGCGGGGTCCTCGGACAACGAGGTCTTGCCTCCGCCCACGGTGTCGTCGTCGGGGTCTCCCGGCGACGGCGGCGGGCACACGGGCCCGGTGTCTCCGGGCACGGGTCCTCCTCGGCTCACGACCGGCGTGCTCGGGACCCTGTTCGGGACGCGCAACGCCAGCCAGCCCTTGGCCAACGTCGCCGCCACGGATCCCAGGATGCCCGCTCCTGCCAACGGAACACGGGCGCAACAAGGTAATCGGCTATAGGCCTTACGGCGACAGCTGTCATTGGCGAGGTTTCGCAGTGGATCCCCGGGCGTTGCAGGTAGAATCGTCGTGAATGAAAAATTTTCCGCTAAATTTAGCTTGAAAAGTTCACAGCTAAACGTCATATAGTGCCAAGTGTCATCGCGATGCTACGTGACATTAATGACGTTACGTGACGTCATGTGACACTGCGACGTCAGAGCGTCACATGACGTTACGGTGTCGTCACGTGAAAGTGTGGCGTCAAGACGCGACGTCATAATGTCACGTTACGTCATGTGACACGGTGAGGTCATAGTCGCGTGACGTCAAAGTGTCACATGATGTTACGGTGTCATCATGACGCGACGTCATAATGTCACGTGACGTCAAAGTAACACATGGCGTTACGGTGTCGTCACGTAACAGTGTGGCGTCATGACTCGACGTCATAATCTCACATCACAACATGTAACACAGTGACTTCAAGTGACACAATGACGTCGTGTGACGTCATGGTATGACCCTATGCCGTCACGCCATTTCACACACACAAATATGTGCCCAGCTCATTCACAACAGATTTTCTGTTCTCCGTTATATGTCACCATGTTTTAGGCAGTGTTGATTGATTCGTTTTAATGCCAGAAAGGCAGAGAGGCTAGCCTGAACGTTCCTTAGCTACTCTGCGTTGGGCTTAGGGAAAGAGGGAAAAGGGGTAAAGTGATGCGAGAACACGATGAGACGGTTGTGATGATGATGCAAGACATGGCGAGGATGATTATAAAAGTCGCTTATGTAAAAAAAATGAAGAAAAAAAAAAGAAACAGTATCAGAGTCTTTGATACATCTGCAGATTGCTTCAGTGTTCTCCAGATGCCAAGCAGATTTCGCTAGAGTAATTTTTATCAAGGCCCTTTTAACGCAGAATGTGTAATCAAACTTGTTTCCATGAGATAGCATGAGTTCCCGATGGTGGCACAGTTGATATTTCAATTACGATCCCGCAGAGGAAAGGACGATTGACCAACAGACCGTTAATTTCGCAGCTTTGGTCCCACGGTGACGGCGCTGACCGAGTCTGCCGGACTGGACTGTGAAGGCTAGCGTATACATTCACAGTATTCCAACGTGTCTTCTTCACACAAGGGCGAGTGTGGATGAGACCTGAGTGTGACACAAGACAAAGCCACGTTCTCCCCTTGATGCATCACTGTGGAAGTTGAGCTAGCCTTGGCAACCGCGGTTCCAGCAAAACGGAGCGCACCTAGCGGGAAAGCACTGAACTGACCGGAACAGGCTCTTTCGCGATTTCTGCTTCTTTCTTGCAGCTTCCGTGATAGCATGTTGTTGGCGGTTTCCCCAATGGCTATCGAGTAAAGCGAAGGCAGTTGTGATGGCCTTGCCCACAGCAACAAAAACGTCAGGCAGGGACGCGGGGAGAATCGATACTCAAAATACGGCCGAACAAATTAGGAGTGAGCGAGACAATGTTTTATTTATCAGAAAGAAAAGAAAAAAAGAAAAAAGAAAGAGATGGGTTTGCCTGTGACCCTTGATCTTTGTCATTGGTTACGGGAGGGGAAGGGGCTGGGGAAGGGAGCTAAATGCATCGGATGCACCTTACATTGCTTCTCATGGTGTGTAGGGCGTACAGTGGTCCCGGTGACACTGTGGTTACTGTAATATAAGCGTGTTGACTAGGTCGCTTTGAACGCAACCTACGCAACCACGCAAACCAGACATTAGGGAGTTTTCGTAGATCGTCTTCGCCGCCCCGTAACGCCCTCCGCAACCCGCTACGATACCCAGAACGTTACGGTCAAGGCTATCGGCGCGCAGGCGCAGTAGCAACTTCTTCGTTGCGGAGGGCTTAGCGGAGGGGGAAACGCGGTTTACGAAAACTCTCTATTAGGGAGTTTTCGTATATCGTTTTCGCCGTTCCGCATCGCTCCCCGTAACCCGCTACGATACCTGGGGCCCTTTGTTGCGCTTTTTGGACTCCCACGGCGACTAGGGAGAAGGAATTGTGACGTTAACAACGGAGAAAATGCAGATTGAATGTTGATTGATGAGAGATCAGTCAACATCCAATCTGCATTTGCTGCGTTGTTGACGTCACTTCCTTCTCCGTAGTCGCCGTGGGAGTCCAAAAAGCGCAACATAGGGCCCCTGGAACTCTAAAGTCAAGACCATCGGCGCGCCGAAGGCCTTGACTACGAAAACTCCGTATTATGGCGCGTACACACTGGAAGCAGATACACAAACGCGAAGCGGATCCGCGCGTTCTCAACCACAAAGCGGCTGGTATCGAGCGGTTGGAGCGCGTTTTTGCCAACCGCTTCGGGACCGATTTGCCCCAACCGCTTTGGCGAACCGCGATGCGGCAACCACTCGCAACGCGACGCTGACGTGACTTCGGGGTTTTCGAAACAAGATCGTACCTGTGGCTGGGGAGGCGTTCAAGGCGTTGTGCTCTTAGCTGGCGTGCCTTCATGTGCGCTTTGCTTAGGGTGAAGACATCTGGCCATTTTGTCTCACACTTCTATTTTTCTTTTTTTTTTTTTGTTCAGAAGCGCGTGTCCCTGCACGCGTTTGGGGCGCTGACTGTGCTACTATACAGTGTACTAGAATGGTGATATGGCGGCACTTTGTTTTCGTTGATTTCTTTGTATTTTAATAATAATAATAATAATAATAATAATAATAAATCTTTATTTTGTACACGGGTACTCCCACTCGCTCACGGGTTATTTTACCCGTGAGCGAGTGCATTCGGCATGGGGTACTACAAAGAGTGGCATCACCCTAAACAGAAGGACATTGAGGCACCCTAGTCCTAGCGTTACATCGGACAAATCCACGAAGAAACGTGATGTTCACGTCCGTCACTTGAGTCCCCCGCGTAAAGAATTGACTCGTATCCTTAACGGGCTCCGCTTTTGTGATTTGGTTCGGGTGAAAGATTTTTTTTATTATTCGGGGTGCCCCAGGCCGTCGCTCGCTGCCTTGTTAGTCTGCCCGTAGAACGTCGGAACCCGCCCCTGATCGACCAAAATGGGAACTGTGAACAGTCGCGTGAACTATTGAAAGCTTTCGACTCCGTGCATGACCACCACAAAGGCCAGAGACGTCGTGAGCCTAATTGCGTAGCCAACACACTACCGCGGAGCTGGCAGGGTACCTGTGCTAGCGAGGGACGAGGAGAGTCCGCCACCAACGTGCTACGACCGGCTAGCACCGAACACATTCCCCCGCACCGCGGTCCACCAGTGGCGCTCACAACTCTGAAAATGAGAAAAGCGAACAACGGGAGGAAGGGGGGCGGGCAGGGGGGAAGGGGGGGGGGGGGGGCAGGGGGGAAGGGGGGTAGGGGACCTGGCCCTCTATCCCGAAAACATGGTCAGCTATTCATCCGGGAAGGGTCCACTTCGAAGAAAGCGTCGGGGGCATCCTCTTCTGACTCTGAGTCAGCAAGGCGCGCCCCGCTGGCCTTTGGTTGTGGGCGAAGTCGAGGGAATCGCAGGCGGGTTTCGCGGGTCTACGTCTCGTTTTTCGCTGCTTCAAGTCGTCATACGTGCGAACATCCCAAAGAAAAATCTTCAGAGTGCAAAACTAGCGAAAATGTGTCTTCGGGTCGTGAATTAAAGTGTATTTTGAATTGTAAAACAGGATGCCAAACGTAACTCTCAAAAGATCACGCGTGATCGCCGAGAAACCGGAAACCGCCTCTCGCGAACCGCCAACCGCGTCTCGGTGTGTCTGAACGGGGTCGCTCGCGAACCGCATCCGCAACCGCTTCGCAAACGCAGCTCAACCGCCAGTGTGAACGCGCCATTAGGCATTTTCAGAATAGCGCACGCTAAAGCTTTGCGTACGCAAAGAATAGCGTCGTCGCCACTGCGCATGCGCCCAGCGCTAACTGCGGTTTGCGCGCGCTATTTTTTAGAAATTGCTTGCGCATGCAAAGAGTCTTTGCGCTCTTCCAAGGAGTATTCGTGATGAGATGGTAGCTAAAGCTAGTGGTTTCCCCAGGAATTGAAATTAGGGGGGGGGGGGGGGGTCTATATTTTTAGGGGGAGGGGCGGCATTGAGAATAGAGGAGTCGTTGCGAATTAAGGACGTGCTTTCAGAAAACTAAGGGGGTGTACACCCTCTCCCTTTCCCTCCCCCTCCCCACCTTGGGGTGTGGAGGGAAATCGCTGGCTAAAGCCAAGACGAGCACAGTTGAAAAATGGCGGCTCCCAGGATCCCGTCAGCGGCCACGTCGTGGGCGCGAAGTCAGCGGCATCCTCGGGACTGCAAAGTTCAACACCGAAAGACATTGCACTCGGTTTGGAAGACCCAGTAAAGTGGGCAACGATCGCGGGCAACGTGATGCTTGCGACGCGCGAACATTTCTCGGCGAAGGTACGGTGTGTGAAGGTCTGTACACAATTCCTCTGTTGCCGAGGGGACGCAAACGGATAGGACAGGTCGACCGCTTCCGTCGCATTTTCATATTTGAACAAATCTAAAATGTTACTCTGGATAAATAAAAAAACTTATTTCTTTTGCTCAAGTTACAGCTTTTCGTTTGTGAAATAAAAACTGTTACTGTATCTTGATATCGTTGCAAGCGCGAAATGCTTACGTCGCGGTGGAGAAATAACACTATTCTAAAATTTTCTTGCGCAACGTGCGCTAATGCAAGCGCTAAAATTAGTGCCAGCGTGCGCTAAAATCACGTACTTTATTCTTAAACTTCCTAGTGCGCATTTATCAACGTCCATCAGCGCAATAGAAGGATAATACGTAGTCATCATTTCCCCGAAGAAGGTTACGTCTCTGGGAGCTCGCTTACGCCGACACACCGCCGCAAGTCTTCAACGTAGTGGATAAAAATAGGAGCAAACAATGTTGAGGCTAATCCTGCACAAACACGAAAGTTGTGTCGTTTTCGGCTGCCATATGTTTTCAGAGTGGCGCCACCAAAACACAGATATGTTTTGGTGGCGCCCTCTTATGTTTTTTTTTTCCTGACGTCATTACCTTGCAAACAATAAGTTCGATGGTGTTTGTAATTAACATGGTAAAATCTTGAAATAATTGGGCTCTGAAAGCAACACTGCCAACATCGTCAAAATTGAAGTTCTTACATTCCTCTTATTTTCGTCAATCACAAATCCTTTGTTGACGTCATACTCAGCATTCGGCCAATCGTGGCAGGCTGACCACAGCGACGCTTTCTATCGCCCACGTCGCCAATAGACCGTTTTACTGAAAGGAGGTGCGAGATTACTGAGGAAATGACTTCCGGGAGCTTTCCTCCTTGCTGGGTTGGGTGGGGCAAATGGGAAAAAGATCCGAATGGCGGTCATAAAACTGTATTTCATCAGACACCCCCACTTTCGCACGTCAGTGGCAGTTGAAACAGGTTAGCTTCCGCCTAAAGCAATAAACCACCGTGCACCAACCCAGCGGGTCCGCCGAATTTAGCCCACTCCAGGAGGCGCTGCGGTATTTATAGAATGGCGCTCCGCAAGAGTCGCGAGGTCCTCTGGCCGTTGACATCACTGATCTCTATGACTAGTTGCTGGATCCTGTTTGCCCAGCTCCGCCTATGGATATCATCTCTAGCCATCTTAGTAATATAACGGACAGCGCTGTGGCGGCAGTCTGCCACGAAAATAGCCATGGGCCTATTGGGGAGGAGATCGAACAGTCACGCCTCTAGCGGCACGCTTCAGCTGGGGGGGCAACAAACCAAATTTTCTTGTTAGTTTTTGATCAGCGATATCGAAGATGACGATTCGAAGGCCAGCATTGGTCAGAGCGAAGCGCTCGTGTCCAGGCCGTGCATGACGAGGTTCAATTTCTTTGTTATGCTCTGTTAGTAAACACCGGGCTGTGGGGACAACAACCTCGATAAAGCGCCTCCTATAGTTCGATCTCCTGCCCATATTTCATTTAGCGCTCTCTGGGCGGCACCATTTTGTTCGACAGCAGCGCCCTCTCCACACATCCGGGAAATTCATCGGGTTCGGCGTGGTAAAACGAGAGAGAGGGCACGCGCTCGACTCCGCTAGCAGACGACAAAACGGGAGGTTGCCATTCTCCATCTTTAGGCTGTATCGGCGGGCTGAACGGAACATCGAACTCTCGCTCGTGGCTGCCGTTGTGAAGTGGTTCGCGTTCTTAGAATAGTTATGGCTACTTCAAAATCAGCCTAGAGCTCTCCGTTGTTCTACTTCGGTAAATGGTCAACTGACATATCTTTTTTTCCGTTACTTAAATAGCAGTTGAGTCAGCCGGCAGTACTGCCCTCAACTACTGCATGTATTGCGGCAGGAGAGCACGTTTTACATTTATTATTTCAGATATCCACTCATGGCCGCTAAAGGCCTACAAAAGTACGAACTTTGTATATTAAAAAAAGTACAACCACCGGATCCACTTTTCGCCGAAGAGACCGGCCAGTCTGACACAGTTTTCCCTATTTTTTTTTATTTGCACGCAGATAACAGCGCAATTGGACTCTGTTAGTCTTTTTTATCTAGCATAGTAATACACGATAACTGGCATACCAAAATCTGCGCATCTGCGCTTGAAATTCCCAAAATGACACGATTTTAAACAGAGTTTGTACGCCAGCCGGATGCTAGGTACTGCCCACTTGGCGGAGCAGACGACATAAGGGCGAGAGGGGGAGAGCATTTTTTTCTCTTTTTACCCTCTCTGCTATGACCCTAATGGAACATTTTAGGGGGAGGGGGGCATTGAGAATAGAGGAGTCGTTGCGAATTAAAAGGGTGCCTTTAGGAAACACGGGGAATTTACACCCCCCCCCCCCCCCCCACCACCTTGGGGTGTGGAGGGGAATCACTGGCTAAAGCCAAGAGTACACTGTACCGTGGGTAATATTGCCGCGCGCGCAGCTGGCCAAGGAGGCAGCGCGCGCATGGCCTAACGGTTATCGGGCCTGCCTCCCACGCGAAAAGCCAGGATTCGATCCCTGGGAGCGACGCCTCTTTTGTTATTCCTGCAATCTAGTTTTCTGGTAAATTCGAGAATCCTGTTGGCGTGTTCGAGGTCCGAATGTTCTACGCGTCGAACATTCTACGCTGATTATTCCAGAAGCTTACGCATGTACATAAGGGGCTCCGCGTGGCGAACCGGAGTCAGTCTCGCCCCAGCGTTCGACTCTGCTGTTACGCCGACTTCGACGCCCGCGACGCTTTGTTGTTATTTTTTGTATCCTTTCATTTTTGGCACAAGTTCGCCACATTAAATGTTTATTTCTTCCTCTTTATTTATTGTTCTTTTGGTCACCACCCGTGACAATATTTCGTGCTTGAATGAAGTTGCTCGACGAAGCCGATTTTCGAAACAAAGTGCATGCGACAGAGGGAGGTCCACTATGCTGTCATGTTGTGCGGCGCGCTGTTCAAATGGCCCCGATTGCGAAACGAGAAGAACTGAGCGTTTTCTGGCTGGCGCGCAGGGATACGTTCGGTGAAAAATATTTATTTGTTCTTAAAGTTTCCACGAAGTCGCCCCGCGACCCTTCAGCTATGGGTGGAAAACGTGTACCCTATCTAACGTGTGGTAGATTGCGGTACCATACTACTATCGTGTGGCTACAGCTAATATAGCTCTACCAAAATGATGGCCGACAGTGGCCGCATTCGCGGAAGTAGTCAAACGCGATCCAGCAAATAGTCATAGAGATCAGTGGCTGTCATTTACATCGTTCGTACGTATGGCGCGTGCTTTGTTTGCTTTTCGAAAGGACGAACATGTGCTTGCTTGGCTGTGGAGATCGCACACTGGGCTGTACCGTTGTAAACATTATAAAGGTATATAGAGCTATGTGGAATCCGACCGTTCAGTTGGGAGGTATGGCCCCTGACGTGTACGCGTGGTCGTACGTACTTGCCCAGGTGACCCGTCCGACCCTGTGTTCCGCGGCTGGAGCCAGAGCCCCGCCGAGCAGCACCGCCAAGACGAGTCGTCCCCGCACGGCGGAGGGCCCCACGGGGGCGCCCTGGCCTCGTCGGACCCCCTGGAGCGCCGGCGCGCCCAGTGCGCCGCCGAGCGCGAGCACGAGCACGGCCACTCGGGCGTCACGGTGGCCAGCATCCGCTGGCAGTTCGTCAGCATGCCCTTCGTCTTCACAGTCTTCATCATCCTCGCGGGACTCACCAAGCTGCGTGAGTGGGCCACGCTCTTGTCGTTTCGGTTCTCTATTGGTTACGACCAATGGGATAATCAACAATAGAAAATGTGCCCAAAATTGAGGCCTTCTTTCATCTATTATGTTCAAAATGCATCATATTTCTTCTTTGTTATATTCTTAATGCGTTGCTTGAGTCCCACACAAGCAAACGCAATGCAAATTTTAAAAAAGGGCCAGAAACGCTTTTCAGGGTGAAACAAAAACAACCACATCTCCACGTGGTGAATGATGTTGATTGGGGCGAAGCTCTGTTGGTGCTTGTCTGCGTAGACGCTGAGCCGCAGCATGCCGGAGCCTTTCGTTCGTTTTCATCCATGTCACGCTGCGGTCAAATGCTCAAATGCGTATATAACCACGTTCCATACCACACATTCTCTTTCTCACATGGATGAAAATGAACGAAAGGCTCGGCATGCTGCGGCTCACCGTCTACGCAGACAAGCACCACCAGAGCTTCGCCCCAATCAACATCATTCACCACGTGGAGATGCGGTTCTTTTTTGCCATACACGAGCACGGGAGCACGTGTTCACGTGCTCGTGAGCACGTGAGCTCACGAGCAGGAGCACGTGCACCCGAGGGCGGACGGACATACGGACATGGCTAGCCCCTAAATGGGCATTCACACGAGGGAGAAATCCCGGGGATTTCTCCACGGCACGCGCATCTCACGACGAAAACGTAAGGCTTTGCGATGTGCAAAAGCCTCGCGTTTTCATGTCGTAATGCGCGCGTGCCGGGGAGAAATCCCGGGGATTTCTCCCTCGTGTAAATACCCCTTAAAACAACCGATACCGACATGTCTCATACACATGCAGCATGTCCACGCGGTTGAACCTTTGACGGGCTCGCGGTCTCTCGGTGCTCGTGAAGCAAGACGAGCGAGTGCAAGCCTGCCCAAAGATACCTTCACGTGCATGCTGCACGTGATTTTGAGGCATGGAGTCGGTGTCGGTGGTTTCTGTTTGTCGCTCTAATAATAGGACTCGGGTGCCCGAGTGTCACTACAGCGACAAACAGAGACATAGCCCTCGGCCGTCCTAGCCGAAAGCCGCGTCAGCGTTCGGCTGGGGTTCGTGTTCAACCAATGGAGCACCAGCGGACCCTTTTCAAAACCCGTCAAGCAAGATTGAAGGCCGCCATTTCTTGGGCACGAAGTGTATGATTGGATACGAGTCCTGGCCGAACAATGCCGTAACACTCGTGTCTAATAGATGCTCAGAGTGCGTGCCCGAACAAGGGCGCACTGAGGGTTCCAGGCGAACGCTGACCTCGAACATTTTTCAGTACGGCTTCGTAATCTATAATAGGGGATGTTCGCTAGAGCTGTAAACACTGATAGAGTTTGGCCGTTGATCGGAGCTTGTGGCACGCGCTAGAACAAGCCAGCTTCGCGAATACAGCGGTATTATCGAGATACGGGCAGAGGTTACGTACGGTTTTTCGGTTGCCAGATTCTCAGCCATGGTTGTTAGACAGCAGGATTATCGTCAACAGGCTTCCGAAACCGTCCAGTATTTACGAGGGTGACTGAAATATTATTACGCACTTCGCTGCTTAGTTTATGAAAGTTACTGGAACGAATTACTTTTTGAAAGTAACTTATCCAAGACTGCTAACGATATTGTAATTCCTCTTGATGTTATGATTTTTTTTATATCGTGGCTCGCGTTTTTTGTTTTTTATGAAAGTCAGTCATGCGTTTTGAGCCAACATTTTTGCTATCTATAGTGAACACAATTTATGCTTCGGAAATTATTTGTAATCATTCCTTGAAGTAGCGATATGCAAACTTCAGAAACATCTGTTGTATGATCAGTTCTTCGGGTCGTTTTCAATCACTTGTCCCACCATGTCGTCCGGAAACGGGCCGCTGCTCTGCACGGAACCATAAAGGCTCTGCCGCCCTTTAGTACGCCCTCGAACCCGTCTCCGGACCTTTCCTTCGCATCCTACGTTTACTTAGTCCATCAGCTTCGCAAATTTGTCGATGGATATTTCGTAGTCTTCCCTGTTGGACATTTGTCGCATTTAAAAATCCTTTCACGGACCGGACATGGGAGTCGGCGGGCCAGCCAAAATTATTGTAGAACACGGAAAAAAAAATCTGTCTCACAAAATGACGTTAAGGCTTAAGTAACGGATGAGGCTGTAACCCAACTGCGCAAGCGCGACTCAAGAATGAATAAATTTTCGCCGTACTCATTCCCGAAAATCTGCTTGTTTTTAGAGCGATAGCTTAAGATGAGAATGGGAGCGCTCCACGGACCTTTCTTCCTCGTGTTGATTTAGCCTGACGTCGCAATATTGCGTGACGTCACACTGTCGCGTGACGTCACTGTCACGTGACGTCAGTATCACGTGACGTCACAATTTTCCCGCCTATTTTACCGGGAAAATATCTCTCCGAAATTAGGCAGAACTTCGTTTTTGGGGCGCCCTTTTTGAAATAAAAATTAACCGGGCGCTGAGAGCTGTTACTTCTTATCGGCGACGTCAGAAAAAAAGGGGGCGTCATCAGTAGTGCAGTGACGTCACTTCTTTTCGGGAATGCAGAGATAGATCCCCATCTGCAGTCCTTGCGTTTGAAACGATTGTAGACTTTCCATGGCGACATTCACTGGTGGAATCTGGAGCGATCCACAAATGCTCAGTGCTGGCCGCCTTCTCAGTTCGCTAAATGCTAGCTCGCGGAGGAACCTCTTTTGAATAAACGCAAGACGCACAAGAAATGCGCCACGGAACCGCCTGAAATCAACCTCTATAGACAATAGACCGATCTCACCGGCCAGTTTGACTACGCCACCGCTGCCGCAATGCAGCGAGGAAACTTTAGTCTTTGGGCACGTGCGACAACCTCGCTGGAGCTCTTCGCGTGTAGAGCACGAAAAGGCACGAGCCCTCGCGTGCACGGCCGTCTCCCTCCTGTAAACTGAAGTTATGACGGCTTTACACATGCGCCCAACGCTTAGTGAGATCGGTCTATTACAAGCAAGGCGACTGGCCGCCGCCATGTCTCTGCTCGTGCGGACAAGCCCGTGCAATAGACCCTTTCCGAAATTCAGTGCCATCTGGAGGCTGAAATGGCGGTTTAACTTTTGCCATACGAATGGCGGCAATGAACCCGTAGCCTGCAGTATTTTATCGGGCACCGTCACTTTTGCATGTCAACGGCAGACGAGAATAAACTTTTTGCTATACGGGTTTTTCTGAATCATCTCTTCCAGTGTCGATTTACACAACGATGCAACCAGTCAGAACGAAGCGCCAAGTCAAGGGGTTTCGAAGTCGATTTTGTGCCACTAACAGGTTCACTGGGCTCGAATTAGAGAAATGAACACTTACGCAGCGCTTGCATTCGATTCCGGTTTCGCAACGTGCTAACGTCTAGAATGTATAGGCCTCGAATCCTCAGCTTAGAAGTATCTTCAACATGTTCCTTCATCAGTAATTAGAAAGCCGCCATTCGTATGGCACATATACCATTTTTCAGATGGTGATGATAGTGATCAAAGTGGCCAGACTGAATTTCGGAAAGGGTCTATTGCAAGCTTGCCAAAGCTATGTTCACAGCTGCACGTGCTTGCACACGTGGGGCACCAGTAAGGGCGCCGTGCTTCTAATAGACCGATCTCATCAGCCAGTTTGACTTCGCCACCGCTGCCGCAATGCATCGAGTGAATTTTAGTCTTTCTGCGCGCGCAATAACCCTGCTGTAGCTCTGCGCTTGTGGAGCTCGAGACGGCACGAGCCCTCGCATGCACGGCCGTCTGTCTCCCGTGAACTAAAGTTATGGCGGCGTCACGCTTTGTGAGACCGGTCTATTGTCTTAGTAAAGAGGTCATGAAATGACATCGGGTAGGAACATTCATGACTTTACAGAGGCGTACTGGTACTTGTTTGGCACAAGTATACTCGAACTGACTGCCACTGGTGCAGAAGCTTCTTGGTTGCGGTGAAATTGCGAGGAGAAAGGGGGACTATTCCTTTCAGTCTTGCCTTCGCAAAGCTTGGTGACGTAATTGTGGGATCGAAACAACGTCGAAATCAAACGTCTGAAACCACACGCCTCACGACAGTCGAGCGCGGCTCATGGACTGGACACGAGAACTCCGTGAGCACTCGACTTCGGCTCGTAACAAGCAATGCCTCGGCGGACACTCGGGAAGTAGTGGCTGGTGTCCAGCCACTGGGGTAATGAGAATAGCCGAACTCTAACAATTCCAGGAGCTCAGCACGCGTTTTCTACTTTACCAACTCCAGCGCGTGGCTATGATTAACGTTGAAGGGATGGACGACGCTCGTATTTCTCGAATTTATTTGGCCAACTACCATTGCTTAGAAAGAAAAATTAAGGCAAGTGTGTTCGGTTATTAACGTAAAGGAGTGATTTTGAATGGTAATTAGAAAAAATTGAAACGTCGTTTCATGGCCTCGTGTTCCAAAAACACATATGTTAGTTACTGCGAGCGTTATCACGTGCCTGCTTTTCCCTCGCTTGCGATCATCCTATTTGCGCTGTCCCGACAGTGATGCTGGAAAGAAAGATACATAAAAACTAAAGGCGTTGTTAATGACAACCGGTGAATTTTTTCAGTCCAGTCAGTGAAAGGCTGGAACATATGCAAAAAACGAACCGAAAAACGCAAAAAAGTCAGAACGTAAAAGAAATTCTGCCGCGTCTATAAAAAAAAAAAAAAAAAAAAAAAGAAATAAAAAAAGAAAGGAAAAATGGCCTCACGAGATTATTTGCAGGTAAGGAAAACTCGGATGTGTTTTAACAAGACAATATACATAGAGTTAATATAATTTACGCTAGAGGTTCAACTGGCGCTAGTGTCTGTGCGACTTCCGTGACGCAAATTGGAGCAGACAGTAACCAGTCTACTTTTGCGGTGCTCCCGTGCATTCCTATGGGAAAACGCGCGTGCATTTTGTCTCTTCGCGGGAAAATAACACGGAACACTTTGGTTA